GACGCCACCTCCAGGCACAACACCACCTCCAGGCACAACGCCACCTCCAGGCACAACGCCACCTCCAGGAAGGACGCCACCTCCAGGCACAACACCACCTCCAGGCACAACGCCACCTCCAGGAAGGACGCCACCTCCAGGTACAACACCACCTCCAGGAAGGACACCACCTCCGGGCCTGAGACCTGTTGTACCACATATAATGAGTTGTATCTATTTATTTTTAAATTGAGGTGCAGACAGTGTTAAATAAGAAAAAAGACAAGATCAAATATTTCCCATTCTGTCCTTTCACCTGGTTTCACACAGGGGTGGGCTTCAAAAGTTTCAGCAACGGGTTCTCTGCCTGGTTACTGGGTGGGTGTGGTCATGATGGGTGTGGCCTAGTCAGCCTCCTGCACCGTGGTAGCGGGGGGCATTTTCACCATCCCCAGGCTCTGGAGGCTTTCATCAAGCCTCTGGGATGGTGAAAACTGCCTTCCCTGGGCTCTGGAAGCCAGAAATGGGCCCGTTTCCAGACTTCTGAAATTTCCGGGATGCCCGTTTTTCCGCCTCCCGAAGCCTCTATGTGGGCCCTGCACTTACCTTGCATCCAAAATGGGTTGCGTGGAGACTCCTGGAAGGGGTGGGGTGGGCGGAGCTAGCCAGGGGTGGGATTTGATGGTTCACTGAACCAGCCATAATGTTAGCTACGGGTCCACCTGAACCCGGGCAATCTGGTATGGCATAGGTGTTCTATTCCTGTTGGTCCCAGCTTAATAAGGATAATTTTTTTAAAAAATCCTAAAATGGCAGTATATCTCCCTTGCTCTTGCTTTTAATTTCTTTGTGCCTTATCCCTCTGTGTAACTGATTCATACACGAATACTGATACTGTGTTAAAAAGCTGTGCTTTTCATGCAATCATATTTCTGAAAGTTTTCTTTGCCTCATTTCATTCTGACTCAGACAGGCTGTCACTTGACATGGGCATTATCAGTGGGTTTGGTGTTTGTGCAAACCAGATTTTCCCACCTTTTCCTCCGCCAATGAAATATTGATCAACGAGAAACTTTCTGAGTGATGTAATACAGCTATCCCAAATCTAAAATATTCAAGGGCAAGATATACAAGAGAGTGACTCCATACAAAATTTAAATTAAATTGACATTTAATTTCAATAAAATAACATGAATTAATTACCATTACAATTAATAATGTTCCCTGCCAGTCACTTCCAAAAGTAATAATTCAGTTGCAATTTTTAGATGGTTCTGGGAACCGCAGAAGTCACACGTAGCCATGTAAGAAATAGCCTTAAGGTATAGGGTATCAAACTAAGTTCCTAATTTCTGCCTTGCCCAACTCAGAAATGGCACTGTGGAATAGAGCAGGGGTTGCCAACCTTTTGGACCTCAGGGAACACTAAACTCATAATTTTATATCCCGCAGACCAGTGACCCTGGGAAAATCCCCCCAAAAGACTGCAGGAAAATTCCCCACCCTGTTTTCCTACTGATCGATCATTGTTTATTTGGGATTGCAGGATACCGTCTCCAGCTCCGTTCTCAGGGGGAGAGAGAGAGAAAGAGAGACTTTTGGCTTCATGCAAGGAAAGCAGCAGAAGCAGCAAAAGCCTTTCTTTCTCTCCCCCAAACTCCACCAGAAATGAGTCTTTGTGAGATCTGTTGCATTGGCGCAGCCTCTTGGAGGAGGATGCCTTGCAGGGTCCCAAAGACTCATTTCTGGCGGAGTTTGGGGGAGAGAAAGAAAGACTTTTGCTGCTTTCCTTGTGTGCAGCCAAAAGCAGAAGAAAGAAAAAAAGCAGAAAGAAGCAGCCCGGTAGTCAGGCCAGGCACTTGGGGCAAAGTGGGGCAAGTCCCCCCCTCCGCCCTTTCCCCCCTCCCCTCACTACTTCATGTTGTGTGCAATGCAAGAGACACAAGCCTTGTGTTCCCATGGGCCATGTGGGCGGCACAGCCTTGTGTTCCCACGCAGCCTGGATTAATTGCTTTGGGGTGTATGTGCTTTGGGGGTGACATTTCTCTGCAGACCATCAAAATTTTATTGCGGACCACCAGTGGTCCCCAGCCCACTGGTTGGCTACCACTGGAATAGAGGAACCCATAACTGATCTTGGTAATTTGGCATTTATCCTGAAAAGGCACAGAGCCTTTTGTTAAATGGGCTTCGAAGAGAGAACATTATTTTTCCCAAGAAAAGCTAGCTTGGGTAAGGATAGATGCAGATCAAACTCACCATATTTGGCTGCTTTAGCAGCTGCTTTTGCTGCTGCAGCTGCCCCAGGTACTAGGAGAAAGAAGAACAAAAGAATTAAGCGGTCAGAATGGGAGCAAAGTTCAGACCTCTAATGTCTCATTAAGCAGCATTTCTCTCTTTTAATATAAGTTTTTATTTTATTTTTTAACAACAGATCCATCTTCCATTTAAACAGTGTGTCGACTGGATACAAACATTTTGTGCAATAATCAGTACGTAACAATTATAATTATCCTACTATAATATCAATAACTATATTTTTGCTCATTGACAATGGTGATTGAGTGAACTGTTGGAAGATCTGGAAGAACCACATCTGTGTGGTTGCTAACAGTTGATACCAACTTGATGGCACATAATCAGTCAAAGCTGGCTTGGAATAGCTGCAGAAGGCAGCATCTGGAAGCATCTTATGGAATATGCACAATGGCTTTAGGGCAGGCAACTTGATATTCTTTTCCTCCCAAGTAGTAAAAACAGTAGGAAGCGTGGCTATGTAAAAACACAGCAGAAGCAGCAGAGAACTTTTAATGCATTCATTTGGGACAGAATCGGCACTAAAACTCTGTCCCACTTTAAACAGACTGGTGGCTATGTTTTTGTCTTGACTTTTGTTTTGTCCTGTCTTGGTTTGATTTTGCTTTGTTTTGCTTTGGATTTCATTTTGTTTGGTTTTGTCAGGCAGATCCACCGGTCTTTTGAAACACCACGGAGCATGTATTTCATAACAACACTGAAAAAAGGCTGAAAACAGGATCTTTGTCACTGATGGATCCCCGATTTTTTTCCTTATAAACCAGCGTTTCTAATTTCCCACAACACTTAAGAGACGCGGACTTCAAACTGGCTTGCTGGCTGGGAATTTCTGGAGGTTGAAGCCCGTACATTTTAAAATTGCTGAATGGACTAACAGTGCTATAAACAATCCCTCCCTTTCCTGGATTTCCTGCAGCAGTATTTGAAAATCAAAAGGTAATACAGAATATCGCTGCTTTGACGTGCAATGCAGCTTGCCAAATACCCGAATAGGGTTTGCATTTCAGCATTTCTGAACAGGAAAATCGAAACAATCTTGGAGGGGGGGGGGTCAGTTGTGGAACTCTTTGCTCTTGAAGGCTTTCTTGACCCTCCACTGCTAGCTCTGAGGAGGGTAGGCAAATGTTTGCTTATCGCCGGAAGTATTTCTGCTGCTGGGGAACTCATTGTTTTGTTCCTTGCCATTGTTAATTAAATTTGTAAGTGCATTTCAGTGATTTAGCTTAGTTGCCTTGCATTATGAACTGATTAGAAATTCTGCGGTGTTCCCAAAGAAATACTAATTTGTCTGGGAATAATAAAATAAATATACCGTGTTTCTCCAAAAAGACAACCCACCTTGAAAAGAAGCCCTATCACTTTTTGAGCGCATGAGATCAAATTAAGCCACAAAATTAGCCCTAATTAAGACCCTGCCCACCCCAGGGTGCAGGGAGTGGGGTGAAGCATACAGGTAAAAAGATAAGCTAGGGTGGGGATGGTGGGTGGTGGAGCTGCCCTACTTACCAGGCCTCGCACACCCCGACACATGCCTCACCTTGTTCTGTGGCCGCTTGCAGCCATTCAATCCAGAGCTCTGTTAGCGGCTGCAGAGAGCTTCCGGCAGGCATCTGAAGGTGAAACAGAGGCCGGAACGATGGGGTGCAAGTGGGGTCAAGCGGCCACAGAAGAAGTGGGCCAGCAGTGGGGTCCTGCCGGGAGGGGCTGTCGGTGCCACTGCCGCGAGGTGAGTCAATAATTAGAATCAGGGGTGGGATCTGACCGGAATAACAACTGGTTCAGGGAGCGCATGCATGTGCGTGCACACTACCAGCTCCGGCAAGCATTTACCTTCTCCAGCTGACGAGCGGCACTCAGCTGTGCCATACAAAGCAGCTGAGGAGGAAAATGCAGCCACTAAAGGACAGCCTAGAGCCCAGGCAGCAGGTGGGCCAAACAGCAGACCAAAACCTTGTCCCAGCGAACCGGTTCGGTGTCAACTGCTCTTCGGAGCTACCGGTTCTATAGAGCCGGACCGAAATGGTAGGATCCCACCCCTAGCCTAGCCCCTAGCCTAGCTGTTTTTTCGGGAGATCAAAAGAAAATAAGACCCGACTTTCTTTTTGGAGAAATACGGGTAGCTGGTATTAAATGTTGGCATATACAGTAGCATTACTAACCTCCACCTCCTGGGATTCCTCCAATGCCAGTCACAAGTCCATTAACAGGACTAAGTACTAGGCTGCCAACTCCTCCTCCAGGCACAAGTCCTCTTCCTCTACCTGCTCCTGCTTGGGCAAAGCAAACGTTGTAAGAAAGAGATGGTTTTCTGTTCCACTATGTAAGAGTTGAAGTTCTCCAAGGATGATATTCAGTTCAAAACATGAAGCCTGGGTGCTTTGTGTTTTCTCCTACACCACCACCCTTTTTCACTGTTTGCAGAGGGCTACTTGTATTCTTATTACGATGGTTTTTTTTTTTTTCATTTGCAAAATGAGGCCACTCAATGATGCAGCATTTTTCTGCAATTGTTTTTCCCCCCCCCCCCCCCTCCCGGCCTCCAGAACTGTGCTGCTAAATGACGCAGTGGTATTCTCACGGGCAATTGCAGGCCTGTGTATTGAAGTAGGTATTTTTGCCCTTCTGCTATCGCACCATCTTATGCAATTTCTCCAGCTGCAAAGGAAAGCCAGATCAAAAGTTGGGCACATCAACTATGCCCCAAACAATGCTTGAGGTGTGATCCTTACAAATAAACCTATTATTTGCCACTTAAACCACTTGTGCTGTATTCCTGAAAATTCTACAGCAGAGGTCCCCAAACTTGGCAACTTTAAGACTGGTGGACTTCAACTCCCAGAATTCTCCAGCCAGCTGGGAGATTTCTGGGAATTGAAGTCCACCAGTCTTAAAGTTGCCAAGTTTGGTGACCCCTGTTCTACAGTGTAGGCCTAGAGCTTTTTATTTATAGCAGAAGAAAGCAGGTATAGTGATGAAGGTTTTGGGCTAGGACAGGTTCAAATCCACCAAGAGCAGGTGATTTTGCCCTGGTGACTCAGACTAACCCTCTTCGGGGTTGTTGTTATGGCAATAAAATAAAGGGAGTTCCCCATGTAGCTTCCTTGAGCAATTGGAGGAAAGGGGGAATAAAAATCTTACTGGTTCGAGCAGTAATAATAACATGCATCAACTTATTTGCTGGTTTCATCATCTTGTTTTTGTCCCCTGGTAAAGTCCCAACTTTTGAGAAAGGTTTGGTGAATGTAGCTACACTTCTATGGCTGTATTCACACACACACACACTTTTTAAAGCCTGTGGTTCTGCATGATATGCGGAGCCACCAATGATCAATTACTAAACAATGTTTAAAGAGAACCAAGGCCATGGATGGTTAGAGACTAAAAATAAAAATGTGAAGCACCTTTTCTGACTCATTGTTCTGACCCAAACCCTTTTCCAATAAAACAAACACGAACCAAAGGGAACAGAAACCTCTTAATGATTTTTATGAATCCCTGGTTAAAAGGCTGCTGCAAATTAATTAACTTTGATAAGCACAAGCCTCGCCAAAACTGTGCGAGGCTGCCAAGAATAACAGATAAGAAATACTTTACAACACAAGAGTCTTCGAATACCAACTTAGGATACTGCAATGTCCACGAGGCTGGAGTTTCAAAACGTTTTTGCTTCCTACAAAGTCTGATTCACAGCTGGCTTTTATCTTCTTGAAGGAGGGGCCATTATCTTGCAGCCTTACTCCCGAGTTGCCCATACTGCTGCAGCTGCTCTTTCCTGCGAGCAATCCTGTGCGCACAAGCACTTGGCACAGGCTCCTCGGAATCTCCTCATCGCTGCTGCCAGTCCCTACAATCTCTGATGGTAACAGCCCACTTCCTAATAGTCCTAGTCCCTCATCTGAGTCCTCACTTTCCTCAGCCATCTGCACCTGCTGCCAGCTAACCACAACACTCATACAGTTTATTCGCAGGTACAAGCTCTTGTGAACTGCATCAAAGGCTCTGTGCCTCTGATAATGTGCACGGCCATTCACAAAAGCCTATGCCTGTTAATAAACTTATTCAGAAAAGGTGCTACCGGATTCATCCTGATTCCTCCCCCCCCACCCCCAAAACATAAACTAACATTCATACTGACGTGTATAACAGGAGACAGGAGAGGGATCCAGGACAGAGAACTCTCTTCAGATGCTATGTTCTCTCCAAAGGACACAGTCTCCTTAGAGTAGCAGCCCCCAACCTTTTGGGCACCAGGGACCGGTTCCATGGGGAGAGGTTTTCTCCACGGACCGGAGGGGTGTGGTTTTCCATGCTGCCTGCATCCCATGGATGGGGCTTTGCTTGTTTGTGCAGCCCAGTTTCTGACATGCCATGGCTCATTGCTGGTCCACAGACTGGGGGTTGGGGACCCCAGCCTTAAAGCACAGAGCTGAGTGGTCCCTTAGCCCCAGTACTTCTAACTCAGTGAACAGATTTTCCCCTTAAGTGAGGAATGGACCGAGGCCCAGAAATATGGACTCTTTCATTTCTCCTTGTGTTTAGTGCTCCATTTGCTGTTTATTAATACTGTGCAGAATCAATATAAAAGTGAAAAGGGGACTTTTGGGGTATATTAGCACTCATGTGGCATCTGCTTGCAACTCTGCAAAGTTTAGGTGATGCCCTCTGTAGCTGCAGCAGGACTCTAAGGAAAGACACATTTGGTTTAAAGCAGGGGTGTCAAACTCGATTTCATTGAGGGCTGCATGAGGGTTGTGTTTGCCGTCGGGGAGGGGAGGCGTGAGTGGGTGTGGCTGTGGTGGGCATGGCCAACTTGACGTCATTCATGTCGAAGGCATCTGTGGTGGCCCAAGTGCTCTGCCGGTGAAAATGGGCTCCTGAGCTCTGTTTTCAGCTGCGACGGCCTCCTGCCGCCCTCTGCCAATGAAAATGGAGCTCGGCCCCGCTCCCCCGGAGCTCATTTTTACTGGCAGAGGGAGGCAGGAGGCCGTTGCAGCTGAAAACATAGCCGTGTGTGGCTCTCCTGAACTCATTTTTGCTGGCAGAGGCACCGCGGGCTAGTCCTTTGCTGTTTTTAGGATGGCCCCATGGCCCAGATCTAAGCATCTTGTGGGCTGGCTCTGGGCCTTGAGTTTGACACCCCTGGTTTAAGGAGATGCAGACAAGTACTACAACATGCTTCTGTGTTTCCTAATGTATCTTGTTGCCTCCAAATCTGAAATGCTGCAAAGCCCCAGTAGAAACCATTAGTTGCCTATATTTACAACGCTGCTCTAAATTGTTGGATTGAAGCGACCTTACCATATTTTGCTGCCTTGGCAGCTGCTTTTAGAGCGGCTGCAGGACTTCCTGGAACTGCAAATATAAGAAAAATAAAGATGAGGTCTTTGGATCATCAACCCTTATTTTGCATAGTTCCCCAGTTCATGGCAGGATTGGGAATCACCTCAACGGTAGCCTAACTTCAGCTAAATAACCATGAAACCACACTGCAAACGGAATATGAGTCAGCAGGGTGGTGTAGCTGCCAAAAAGCCAAACAATTTTAGGCTTCATTAGTAAAGGTACAGTATCCAATATGTGGGAATAATACTCAGCTGTACCAATTGTAGGCACCAAAATTTAAGGAATCAGAGGATTCAGAATAGTTTCCTAAAAGGTCAACTAAGATAATAACCTGAAACAAAGAGAGATTGAAGTAGTTAGACATGTTTAAGTCTTGTGAAAAAGAGCCTAGAGAGAAATATGGTACCATGCTTCAAATATCTAAAAAGCGACCCCATAGAAGAAAATTGGTAAAACTTATTCTTTTATCATTACAGACTGAAGAGACATGGAATCATAAAGGAAGTCAGTTTCCAATTGAATATTGGAAAAACTTCCTAAGGGTAAGAACAGTTGAAGTGTGAAATGCGGGTAGGCGTCCCTTCCCTGGATATATTCATCCAGAAACTGGATGCCCACCTTTTAAGAGACGCCTTAACTTGAATTTTTGCACTGAACAAGGATTATTTCATTCATGTATGGGAAAAACTTACATAGCTGCTCATCTGCCAGAATGAATTCTGGGTGGCAAACAGGGTACAATGCAATTCCAATACAACACCCCGCTCCAATTTAACCTAAATGTTGATATGATCAAACCTGCATCCATAAATCCACCACCCCATGTTAGCTCCATTGGATCGTAGCTACAAAGCCTAGGGGGAAAGCCAGGTCTTCACTTCTTTCCTGAACCTGTATCTCTGGGGAAGGGGGTTCCATAAAACAGGCATCATGACAGAGAAGGCATACTTCCAAATTCCCATCAAATCGCACTGTCTCACTAAGGGTCAGGAGCTGGACTGAATGGCCTAAATATACAGAATGTTCCCCACTGTTGAGTTAAACTGCTAAACACCCATTCTAGAGCTGACACAAAATTGGTTGGTTGTGCTGGGTTGTAAGCCGCCTAGAGATGGCTCTTGGCAAGAGGATGGGCAGCATAAAAATTCAATTGGCAGTAATGCTGTGCTTTTATGTTTCCTACATACACAAGAACTTACCTAGTCCGCCAGGTACAACTCCACCAGGTACAACTCCACCAGGTACAACTCCGCCAGGCACAACTCCGCCAGGCACAACTCCGCCAGGCACAACTCCACCAGGCACAACTCCACCAGGTACAACTCCGCCCGGCACAACTCCACCAGGCACAACTCCACCAGGTACAACTCCACCCGGCACAACTCCACCAGGCACAACTCCGCCAGGCACAACACCTCCAGGCACAACTCCGCCAGGCACAACTCCGCCAGGCCTAACTCCACCTGAGGAAAAAAAATATTGAAACAAATAGTCCGATTATATGGACCAATTTGTGTTTTTATCTTCTTTAGTAATATTTGTTGGATTAGGATGAGGTATCAAGTTTATAACTGATGAGTATTATTTCCTCATAAATGACTTAAATGAGGGAATAGAAGGGGAACTCATCAAATTTGCAGATGATGCTAAACTAGCAGGAATATCAAACACCTCAGAAGATAAACTCAGGATCCAAAAATATCTTGACAAACTTGAACAATGGGTCCTATCCAACAACATGAATTTTAATGTGGAGAAAAGCAAAGTTTTACATTCAGGCAGGAAAAGCCAAAGATATAAGTACAGATTAGGTGAGACCTGGCTCAGAAACAGTAACTGTGAGAGGGACACTGGAGTCCTTGGTGGATGATCACTTGAATAAGAGCCAGCAGTGTGCAGCAGCTGCCAAAAAAGCTAATACAATCCTGGGTTGTATAAACAGTATCATAGAATCAAAATCACGTGAAGTATTAGTACTGCTTTATAAAACCCTAGTAAGACTACACCTGAAATACTGCAACCAATTTTGGTCACCATACTACAAAAAAGATGTTGAGACCTTGGAAAAAGTTAAGAGAATAGCAACTAAGATGATCAAAGGCTTGGAGACTAAAACCAGGGGTGGGATTCAATTTTTTTAACAACTGGTTCTGTGGGCGTGGCTTAGTTGGTGGGCATGGCTTGGTGGTCATGTGACTGGGTGAACATGGCTTGGTAGTCATGTTATTGGCTGGGCATGGCCAACTCAATATCACTCACATCGAGGCACCATCTCCTTGCCTGGCCTCTCATGACTGTGGGGATGCTGCAGAAGTCGTAAGTGTGAAAAACAGTAATAAGTCACTTTTTTCAGTGCCATTGTAACTTTGAATGGTCACTCCACATAAGCAAAGTACCAGCAAAGGAGGGGAAAAAAGCTCCAGAGAAATTCCAGAGACAGGAAGTCTAGTTCTGCCAAGAATGTAATAAGGGTTAACGGAGAGGCAGTTTCTGTAAGCAACACCAGAATGTTTCCTTCCTGCCTTCCTTACAGGATTAGGCCAATAATTTCTTCTAACAACCAGTTCTCTGAACTGCTTAGAATGTTAACAACTGGTTCTAGCGAATAGGTGCAAATGGGTAGAATCCCACCCTTGACTAAAACATGAAGAACGGCTGCAGGATTTGTATTTGGCTAGCTTAAGGAAAAGAAGAATTAGAGGCGACATGATAGCAGTATTGTTAGGAATGTAAGTCACGTAACAGTTATTTGGGTTGGAAATATATAAACTAGGATAGACATTTTAATACTATGTCTTTAAGAGAATGCTAAAACTGTAATTGGGTGTGGTTTCTCAAATGGTCATAAGATGGAGCCAGAAACCTGGGTTGTTGAAGAGTGTCTCAGAAAGTCTCAGTGAGTATCTGTTCCTGTTCTGGTGTTTTCTGGAGAGTGTTGCCGTTCCTGTATTGACTGTTATTCTTGGATTTGATGTAAGTCTGTTACTGAACTGTTTTTGATACTGGACTTCATTACTGGATTATCCCTGGACTGAAAAATGACTGCTTTAACCGTGAATGACTTGGACTGTGTTGAACTTTGCTTAACCGTTTTACTGGAACATTTTACTATACAGTGTATCTGTGTGCTAGTTGTGTGTTATTCTTCACCACTCTCACTACGTCTCCCTGTGTGCGCTCATTCTCGTAAGAGGGAATTACCTCAACAAGTATTCCAGTATTAGAAGGGCTGTCATGATGAAGTGGGGGTCAAATTATTCTACAAAGTACCAGAGGGCAGGGCAAGAAACAAAGGTTGGAAATGAACCAAAGAGAGATGCAAGATGGAATTAAGGAAAAGCTTCCTAACAATGAGGACAATTAACCAGTGGAATAGCTTCCCTTCAGAAATCGTGGGCGCTCCATCACTGGAGGTTTTAAGAAAAGACTTATCTGAAATAGTATAGGTTATCCTGCTTGAGCAGGGGGCTGGACTAGAAGACCTCTAAAGTCCCTTCCAGATTCTATTCTATTCTATTCTATTCTATTCTATTCTATTCTATTCATTTGCAAATTATCTCTGTCTCTACCTCTAAAGAGAAAAAAGGAATGGAATGTTCAAGAATTGAAAAACCTCATTGAAGTGCCCCCCTCTGCCCAATTCCTTTTGCTGTGGGAGCAGAGTGCAATTCAGCAACCCAGAAGAATCTTGTATTATCTCCACAAAGATGCTGAGTTTGGTTTTGTGTGTCTGACAAATTTGATTCAGTATAAATGAGAAATACTGAATGAGAAATAATCAGAAGGCAAGATCCTAAAATCCACAACAGTGGATTTCAACTCCCAGAATTCCCCAGCCAGTGTGCTGGCTGGAGATTTGTGGGAGTTGAAGTTTTCACATCTTAAAAGTTGCCAAGTTTGAAGAACATTAATCTACAAGGATGATAATTTTGGTTTAGGAACAAAAACGGGATAAGGGCAGTGATAAACCGAGGGGGAAATTTGAGTGATAAATCTTTTTGATTATGCTTGAAGGATTGTTTTAGTGGGAAGAAGGTGAATGCATTTTGAAGCAATGACCTGGACTCTCAGACAGGTGGGGGATGGAATGAATAAACTTGATTCAGTAAAAGAATTATCTAATGACACAACATGTATATTAATGGTTTATATTAGGTCCAATGAAGATCTTGATTTTCAAAATAATTTAACATATATTTGTCCTACAGAGAGGCTTGCTTTTAAAATTAATATCTATGGATTTTTTATAATATTACATATAGAATATTTTACCAGGCTCAAGGTATATAATTTAATTTGCCTCAGTCAGCAATTTATTTTGCATGCCATTCTGTATGTTTGCTGATGTCTGGCATTTTGAAGTAGATTGTCATATCTTGCTATTCACAAACTCTGTTGCAATGAGAAAAGAAATAGGTTGCATTTTTACCATATGCTGCTGCTTTTGCTGCTGCCTTAGCTGCTGCTGCTGCTGCCGCCGCTCCTGCTAACCCAGTTCCTAATGTGCATAAAAACACAGTTAAGTTACAGGACAGAATCCATACTGGCATGGAGGTCTTCTGCATCTGGGACTACTGGAACCCCAGAAACCCCACCAATACCTGGGATGTTACTGACACTACCTGGGACAATGCCGCCACCACCAGGGACAATGCCACCAGGGCCAACGCCACCAGGGACGACGCCACCAGGGACGACGCCTCCTGGGCCAACGCCACCAGGGATGATGCCTCCAGGGCCAACGCCACCAGGGATGACGCCACCAGGGCCAACGCCACCAGGGATGACACCACCAGGGCCAACGCCACCAGGGATGACGCCACCAGGGCCAACGCCACCTGGAACCCGCCCTAGAAAAGAAATTATGAAATGGGAGTGGGAACTTGGTGGAAACTGAGTTCAATTGCATTGGAAACATAGCAGAAACTCAACTGGACGAGAACTTAGTGGGAACTCAAAGAAGATTCACCAAAGTCCTTGCTGCCTACCAGTCATACATTGGTTTTTGGTTTTTCACTGATTCAAAAGATGTGTTCTATTCCTCAAGATTTTCACTGATCTCATTTTGCTGCCCTTCTATATAGTGTATGTGTCTGTTTGATGTATGAGCCTATTTGATACAGTGATTTAAACCAGTCACTTTCTCTCTGTCCTGGGGAGGTGTTGTGGAGGTTCCTAGATAAAAATCCACACAATACCCCCAGACCACAGAAGTATCTCTGCGTATATAGCAACTACTTCCTGTGCAAGTAGACATAGGATATATTTGGGCATTCAATCAATCCCCGTTTTGCCTTGAAAGCCTGAATCTTGCAACTTGCACATGTTAAGAAAGTCAATTTGATTTTCTAAATTTTCTTTTGCATAATTTATGGTTATAGGGAGGGAAATTTCAAAGTATAATTTCTAGTTTTGTTTCGGCTAGATAACTAGGGGAAGTGTTAAGAAATACGTAATCAATTGAAAACTTTCCTGATTTCAAACATACTCTAAGGCAGGAGTGAACAACCTTTTGGACCTCGGAGATCACCAAACTCATAATTTTAAATCCCACGGACCACTAATATGAATTTTGACTGACGGTGGTTTGTTGACATTGGTGGGAAAGTTAGTTCCATATTCCAGAGCTGCAGTAGTCACAGGACTGGCCCTTTGGTCATCCTGGAGTAGCTGCTCCTCCATCTGGATGCACTGGCCTGCCATGGACTGGAGGAGCAGCTCCGGGATGACCAAAGGGCCAGTCTTGTGACTACTGAAGCTCTGGAATATGGGACCAACTTTCCCACCAACCTCAGCAAGCTACCTGGGGCGGATTTCCCTCCCCCGCCATTGGTCTTACCTTCTAGTTCCAGCTCGTGTGGCTCTACTCAAGGTAAGGTTTGCGCTTGGCCGAAGGGTGGGGCCAGCGGGTAGGTGGGCCATGTGGGCAACAGAGCCTTGTGTTCTCACGCAGCCTGGATTAATTGCTTTGGGGGGAGTGCTTTGAGGGGGACATTTCTCTGCAGACCAGCAAAATTTACTCGCGGACCACCAGTGGTCCCCAGACCTTTGCTCTAAGGCACCAGCCATGCTGTGTTAAATCTTGCTGCTGTCAGAAAGCAGAAACTCAAAATCTCCTATTTTCCCCCACCAAAATATCGCAAATTTCTTTGCTCTATACTGTGCTGTACAGATTGACATTTCTCAACCTCGTCATCTAAGATACATGGATTTCAACTGCCAGAATTCACATCAGAGAGGGTGGAAAAACTGTATGTACGACAACATTGTTGTTTTCAGTAGTAGTTGTAACTTCATGCTGGGTTTACCCGCCTGTCCTCTAGTTTCTGAGAGGTCACTAAGCACACTTACTAAGTGCAACTTTGTCCATCCCAGGGAAGTACTTTAATGGTAAGGGGGAAAGGGGGAGGGAGAAAGGAAGGGAGAGAAGAATGGAGGGCCCAATCCTACAATGCGCACTGCAATGATATCTACCTGCCTTGAGTTTGCTACAAATACCCCTCCCCCGCCAAAATAAAGATGTTTCAAATAATTGGGAGACATACCGTATTTTGCTGCTTTAGCGGCAGCAGCTGCTGCTACTGCTGGACTCACTCCTTGAAGATTCAAGCAAGAGAAGAAACAGGAGGTAGAGCTTAATAATAGAAACGTAATGCATTTCAAATATAGTCTTGCTGTGATAATAATGCAAAACTGCCATTATCCTCATTACAATCTTACCCTAATTTTAAGAAATGGTGGAAATGAACCTCTGGGGCCCAAGGGAAGGTGAGGAAACGATTTATTTTGAATTTTTTGCTGGCATCAGCAAAAGGTTAGTTGGTGATAGGCAATTAAACCAGCCTGGCTTGGTTAAAACTGGAAGCTGTTCAGTTGCGTAAGGGAGTTGAGACCTTCCCCGCCTCTGCTTCTGATCAAGTTTAGCAATAGCAATTAGACTTATATACTGCTTCACAGTGCTTCACAGTCTCTCTAAGCCAGGGGTGGGCAAACTACGGCCCGGGGGCCACATCCGGCCCGTTGGTCTTTTTAATCCGGCCCGCCGAAGATTGGTACAGAATTAAGGTTTGATGTGAATGATTGAATGTTTGCATTCATTTGATTTTGACTTGTAATGACAGGCATTTCGACACCAGGTGGCGGCCCGTCTGTCAAATTTTAAAAGTCAATGAGCCCCCCCCCCGAGCCAAAAAGTTTGCCCACCCCTGCTCTAAGCAGTTTACAGAGTCAACATTTTGCCCCCAACAATCCGAGACCCTATTTTACCAAACTTGGAAGGATGGAAGGCCGAATCAACCTTCAGCCGGTCAGGATTGAGGGAATCGAACTCCTGGCAACGTGAGCAGAGCTATCCTGCAATGCTGCATTCTAACCACTGCACCACCATGGCTCTTTACTTCATGTCCAGAGCAAAGGTGGTATTCAGCAGGTTCTGACCAGTTCTGGAGAACCGGTAGCGGAAATTTTGAATAGTTCGGAGAACTGGCAAATACCACCTCCGACTGGCCCCCATCCCCATCTATTCTCTGCCTCCCGAGTCCCAGCTGATCGGCTGGGTCTTCTTTTGTTGCCCTGTACAGGAGAACGGAGCTGGAAAGCAGGTTAGGGAGGTAATGGGGATTTTGCAGTATCCTTCCCTAGCCACTCCCCCCAAGCCATGCCACGCGCACCAAGCCATGCCCATAGAAAACTAGTAATTTTTTTTTGAATCCCAGCACTGGTCCAGGAACTCTCTTCATCAGACACCCAGTGAAAAGGAGGGAATGGCAAAAGAGGAAGATGAGTTCCCTGGCTCATTTTGGTTCTGGCCACCCATAACCACCAGATGATTCCCCAAAGGCTACATAGTCTCCCCCACCCTTAGCATAGAACCTTAGCACTGGAGAGAAAAAAATCCCATACATGCTTTAAATTAAGGTGACCAACTTTTTTACAATGAGAAGGAGGACACAAATAAATTGAAGAAAAAAAATAATAAAGCCACTTGCGCGCGGCACACTCTCTGAAAACAATTCTACTGTGTGGAGCGCATGCGTCTCATAATTGTGTCTCGCTGCACTGTACCGAGCCTTGACGAATCGCCATGTCAAATACAAATACGTCACATCACACACAATGGATCGGATCAGCATCGATCAAATACGGAGATTTACAGATTAGCCTTCAAATAGGAGGACATGTAGGAGGACACTTTTTGAGAGAGGACAGAACTTACAAAAGGAGGACTGTCCTCCCTAAAGGAGGACGGTTGGTCACCTCATTTAAATAAAATACAGCATTGTAATAAGTCAGGGATGTCAAATTCAAGGCCCAGGGCCTGGATCTGGCCTGCGGGATGCTTAGATTTGGCCTGTGGGGCCACCCTGAAAATGACAAAAGCTCATGGTGTCTCTGCTATGGAAAACAGAGCTCGGGAGGGCCATCCGTGGCCTTCCTGAGCTCCATTTTCACTGGCAGAGGATTGCAGGAGGCCATCGCAACCCAAAACAGAGTTTGGAAGCCCATTTTTACTGGCAGAGCGCTTGGCCCACCAGAGGTGCCCCTGACATGACTGATGTTGAGCTGGCCATGCCCCTTGCCCACGCCCCCCATGCCCCCCCCGATGATCAAACACAACCCTGATGTGGCCCTCAATGAAATCAGGTTTGACACCCCTGTAATAAGGTAAGCTTTTTACCGGTATCTTATTATTCTCTTTAGTGGCTATGGAATACAAGTAGTCCTCAACTTACAACAGTTCATTTAGTGACCGTTCGAAGTTACAACCATTGCAGCATGCCCATCGGTCACCTGATCAAAATTTGGAAGCTTGGCAACTAACTCATATTTATGGCGGTTGCAGTATGGTGGGGTTCAGAGGTGGTATTCAGCAGGTTCTGACCAGTTCTGGAGAACCGGTAGCGGAAATTTTGATTAGTTCGGAGAACCGGCAAATCCCACCTCTGACGAGATTTTACAGTATCCTTCCCCTGCCACGCCCACCAAGCCACGCCCACAGAACAGGTAGTAAAAAAAATTGAATCCCACTACTGGTAGGGTTCTGTGATCCCCTTTTGTGACCTTTTAGCAAGCAAAGTCAATGGGAAAGCCAGATTCACTTAGCAACTGGGTGACTAATTTAACAATTGCAGCAATTCACTTAAGAACTGTGGCAAGAAAGGTCATAAAATGGGGCAAAAAGTCACTGAATAGATGTCTCATTTAGCCACAGAAATTTTGGGCTCAGTTGTGGTTGTAAGTCGAGGACTACCTATATACAAATTCTCAAAGCTGTTCTATTTACTTCATTCAAGTGCGATTTCATTCTTTCCTAGAAAATCACTGCTTCATGCATGTATTCTATATGCTGTGGTAGTTGTTCTGACCAAGGCTTCCTGAGACCGTAATTAAGCACACACTTAGTCCCAAACAGTCCCTCGAGATAAGCATCCACCTTTATCCTTTGAATTGCTGCTGAACGAACTATAAAAAACCAACCAAAGTACAAAATCCACACAGAGCTTCAAGGTTCAATCCAAACAGAGGGAACAACTTTGCTTCCTGCAAAGGTTTCTCTACCTTTGCACTTCCTTTATACCTTAGGGGAGGGGAAATCATCTCCAAGCCTTACTCCCAAGTTGCCCCTTTTGTCTTAGCTGCTCTTGCCTTCTGGCAGCTCTGCGCACATGCGCACTGGGAACAGGCTCCCCTTGTTCCTCGGCCTCGCTGCTGCCAGACTCTGGAGGCTCCGGAGTCAGCACATAACTCCCAGATGGCCCGGGCCTCATCTCTGCATCGGACGCAGGACCCTTGTCCGAGTCCTCCCAGACTCCCAGACTGGTCCCTGTTCTTCCCCACTGTCTGATTCCGCTGCTGTCTGCACAGGCTGCTGGCGAATCACAACAGTAATGAACAAATGTGATCATTCCAAAACGTGGTTTGTCATTTCCTTCTGATTCATTTGCTGTTACCTCATACGGGGACTTAGGTAAAGGTATCTTTCAAGTGTGCTGTATGTGAGTGTATACACTTCAGAGACACTAACAGGAAGCAAACCAGACGCTAATCTTAAAATGAGGGACTGCTGCCGGTACTGCATTGCATGGAAATGGAATAATACAGAAAACGGGTGAGGTGTAATTTTAGCATTAAAACAAGAACAGGTAGGAGCAGAATGCCCTGTCATTCAATCCATCGCGTCGAAATGTTTTTAATTCTGTTCAACTTCATTTTCCACCCCCACCCCCCCAGAACTGGATTCAGAGGAAGGTCTTCCCACGCAGTCTGCTGTGTTTGCCAGCTGAGCCAATTAATTTCACACTCAGCTGCAGCCCATTTCAAAGCATAGATCTGCCAGCCCTTCCTTTTGCTGCCCACTTTTAAGGCATGAGCAGGAGGTTTTCCAATTGGTGAAACTCTTCGCCTCACCTTGCCTCCCCACATAGGAACTAGAGTCAACAAAGCTTTCTGTCTGCAAATTTTATTTTATTTTTTAAAGCATCTTCAATTTAGCTCCCTCTAATATTGAGGTTGTTCAACTGGGCATATCCTGTGGTTTATGGAGCAATTTGCTTGCTTCTGAGTGGAAGGCTCCATTTGGGATACTGCTACCTCCCTTCTTGCGTAAAATATAGTTTCTGTTTTTGGGGGGAGCGGGGGTGTTAATGACATGATTTGAGACTGGGAAAAAAATTGGTAATTGGGTCAAACAGTTTAAGAACATTGTTCTTGTATCCAATGCTCAGGTATTTTTGCGTAAACTTGGGCAAAGACACACAACCTTCGATGCGTGATCCTATTGTAAAATACAGCATGGACCAATTGCACTGTTTCCAAATAGAGGGGGGCAGTATTTATATAGTATCCACAGCAAAAAATATATGATGATAATTTATACTATTATTGTATTAGTTAAAGTTGAAGCTACAACTGCCAAAACATCTTAGGCAGATATTTACGCAAGCGAGATTCGAACAGCTCGACACAATGGCCAGATATGGGAGATTCCATTCTATACCCTAAATGGACATATCTGCATTTGTGGAGCGGCAGAGGTCGAAGACCTAGCTCACATCCTATTTGATTGTTGCCTGTATAAAAGTGTGAGAGACAGGTACCTTGGTGTATATACTAAATGAATGACCCATTGGGATCCCCATATCAAAACAACTTACCTTATGTGCAGCCAGAATCTGAAAATAACATTTAACACAGCACAAGATTTAAGCAAAATGGTTCGGTTGAGATCTGCATATGCAGGGACTGATTGGGGTAGAATGTAGGGGCGATACCGAAATATAATTTTATCATATTTTATCTATATCTTAAATTATTGTTATTTTATTCCAATTTCATTTTAGACTGTATTTTATTCCAATTTCATTTCAAACTGTATTTTATCTAATTCCATTTTAAATTGCTTTTATCAAATTTTAGTAATAATTTGTTTCTGGAACTCTGCACTTCGATATAGCCCAAGGGCAAATCAATCAATCAGTCAATGTATTCCTTAAAGTAGTATTTCTTAATTTATTTTGATACAATTAATGTTCAGGAGTCAAAAAACAATCTGAAACTTCACGAAGGGGATAAGATGCTGAAGAGTTTGGTGACCCTCCGCTTACACACTCGCTGCATTTGAGGGAAGGAGTTGAGGATGTCTGACTTTTCTGCTTTGGACTGAAAGGCTGCACAGCTCTACCTCCGAGAGTTTCCAATTCTTATCTGCCTATAGCAACGCAGGAAAAGGAAGTCCAAACGATTAAGAGTTCAACTGTTTTGCTCTTTTTTTTTATTCCACTCAATGGGTTCCTGGCCAAGACAATCTGACTCCCCCCCTCCTTTTTGCAAAGTATGGGGATATGGGAAGGGACTTTTATTACTCCAGTACCCATGGCATTGTGAAGCCAAACAATGTTCTTTGCACTCTCTTACTCAGCACCTGGAGAGAGAATCCAGATGGGTCATGGGCTTTTCGAAAAGCTCCTTCTCAGCTTTTTAAGATCAGCTGATAAACAACAGTCCCAAACTACTTTTGAAGAGATGAGGAGCAGGGACTGAAGCAGGATGGAACTGACTTTGGTGTCAGATTGGAGGAAGGATAAATAAGGGGCAGGAGGGTTCAGGTCTTCTCCCTGTGTGGATGTTAAAATTAGGTTTCTGCTCCAGTTACTGTGACTGTGATTACATGGTGTTGTTTGAGATTGATACTGCTGTTTGAGCAGATAGTCCCTGCCCTTGGTTCACACAGGCCACACAGGATGTATGTGTCTGCTAGTATTCTAGGAGCCGTGGTGGTGTAGTGGTTAGAATGCAGTATTGCAGGCAAACTCTGCTCATAACCAGCAGTTTGTTCCTGACTGGCTCAAGGTTGACTCAGCCTTCCATCCTTCCAAGATCCCAGATTGTTGGGGGCAATATGCTGACTCTGTAAACTGTTTAGAGAGGGCTGTAAAAGCACTATGAAGTGGTATATAAATCTAAGTGCTATTGCTATTGCTGTTCTGCCCATTGGACCCCTACTTGGTGATATAACCAAAAAGCAGTGAATAGATATTAGTATGTTTGAAGCCAGTGAACAAGTATATAACTGAGAGCTGTTGGACTAAATGGGATTGACTATTTGGGATACGGAAGCAAACCCTGATTTCATCTTCTCCTCCTCCTCTTTCTTGTCCCCATAACAACTTACCTCCCGCTGGGCCAACTCCTCCTGGGCCTACTGCAACTCCCGGAAGTCCACCAACACCAGGAAGACCAACACCACCAACTCCAGTTCCAGGGAATCCTGGAAAGCCAACGCCGACACCACCCACTCCAGTTCCAGGGATAGCTCTGCCACCTGCAATGAGAAAGAAAGTCATAAAGGGCACAAGCAAAACAGGCTGGAATTGAGAGAAGGGAGTCATGAATCTCTTGAATGTTGGCCAACATTGGTCAAATACTGACCAATAGTTAGTATTAATTTATTAGAACAGCAGAGGAGCACAGAAAACATTAATTGCAGAAAAGTGCTTTTTTCAGAATCTTCCATTGATGGACAATAAAGAAATAAATACACACAAGCATATACACATACAATTAGCTATGAAAGGCTGGAAGGGTATAGTGATGGTAATCTCTATGGGTAGTTTACTAGTTTTGCAATCCTCAAATAAGAAAGAAATGGAAGGATTTGTGGGTGGAAGGCTAGAATAGCACAGTGGCTAAGATACTAACCTGTGATTTAGGAAATTTCCAGTTCACCTAAATTCAGAACTTTAGCCACTTGTTCATTAGGTCATTCTTCCTGAGGCTGACATCATAACATATGCATAACTTTTAGAATAAGTTTAATTCCATTCATCCATATTAACATATTTACTATTAGCTGGGATTAATAGAGATTGTAGTCCAGCATATTCAGATTACATCAGGTTAACAAAGGCTATGCAGAACAAAAATAAAATCAAAACTTTCCTTAGAGCAGCCATTTAAAGAAGCTCCAGGGGAGGAACTAAGACTCTATCAGGGACCTCATATTGAAGAATAGTATGGAATAGAATAGAAATATTCTTTATTGGCCTAGTGTGATTGGACACACAAGGAATTTGTCTCCGGTGCATAAGCTCTCAATGTACATACAAGCAGCAAGTGATAAATCATGATCATAATCATAAAATATGATCATCATAATCATAAGATATAACGTTCAGTGATAGCCATAGTGTACTAATTAAGCAATCAACATAAATCATGAGGAGTGATTGATCATTGTATTGATCATATAATATATGGGGGTATGGGGGTATATGCATATTTTTTGTCATGTTTATGTAGTATATATTGGAGGAGATGACCCTTTGAGGGCTGTATACAATAAATTTCATTTTAATGAATGCTGTACATTTAAAGTGACAATAATGTTATTCTAACTCTAAATCTATTGTACCCTCAAGCACCACACCCTGTGACTACCACAAGCCTATTCGTCTATTTTCTTCTATTTTCCTCTGAGGAGCTGCCACAAAGAAGAGGGAGTCAATCTGTTTTCCAGAGTATCAGAAGGCAGGATAAGAAACAATGGATGGAAACTAATCAAGAAGAGAAGCAACGTAGAATTAAGGATAAATTTTCTAACAGTGAGGGTAATTAACCAGTGGAATGGCTTGTCCTCAGAAGTTATTGGTGCTCCATCACGGGAGGATTTTAAGAAGAATTCAAACAGCCACTGGTGTGGAATGTTATAGGGTTTCCTGCTTGAGTAAGGGGTTGGACTAGAAGATCTCAAAGGTCCCTTCCAACTCTGTTATTATTCTATTCTGTTATTTTAGGAAGTTCAAAAACATTGCATGGAATGACATGCATGTTGTAGCCAGGATGATCCACTAGATGGCAGCCTCTTTCCTAGATGGCTCTATCACTGACAGGGGCCTGGATCATAGACATGGAAAAGAAAAGAGTGATGTTCAAGGTAAACTTCTGCTTTCAACTCATTTCATCCATCCCACCCATGCCTCACCTCCACTTCTAAAGAGAAACAAAGGTTGCCCATAGAAATCAATGGAAAAATCCAGACTTTTACTGCAACTGCCGCTGGGTAGTTGAAAGTGAATGGTTTCAACCAAAAAAACCCTTTCCCATTCATTCTGACACAGATCTTGGTTCATGTGTTTAAAAAAAAACATTAAGAAATGCAGTGAATCTGTGTGTAAAATAATGGAACAAAAGATGAGCACTATTTCATTCTCCCAGGTCTACACTAGAAATTATGGTTCTGCCTTTCTTGTAAAAACGATGTATCAAAATCCAATGGAGAAATCAAGGGTGCTATTGTAACTAGGCAGCAGGACCTATCTAACAACAACTCCCTCACTAAAAAAAAAAAAAATCCTTTCTTCTTTCTCCCAACATGTAAATAAAGGCCATATTCTTTCACTTCTTTCCCCAAAGGATAGTCCATAGAAAGAATGAAATTATACAGTATTGTAAGCTAACCTAAAAATATAATAATCTAACTTAAAAACCTAAAATTGGAAATCACTCCTTTCTTCGCACTCTTTTCCATTAATGTATTGCTTTTCTTTACTTTTCTACCTTTCAAAATGTAATGTTGTTTTTATTCTTTTCAATATTTAAGAAAAAAAGTATATGCAGTTAAAAAAAAGAATAGACATGCACTGTGCCTGGAACATTCAACTTGTGTCTCTAATCAAGCCTTGATAATTCATCCTTTGTAAGAATAGCAACTGCAGAGGCAGTAAAATCAGGGAAGGGAAGGAAGACTTTCTAAGCCAGGGGTCTCCAATCTTGGCAACTTTAAGCCTGGAGGACTTCAACTCCCAGACTTCCCCAGCCAGCTGGCTGGGGGAATTCTGGGAATTGAAGTCTGCCAGGCTTAAAGTTGCCAAGTTTGGAGACCCCTGTTCTAAGCCAACATGTTGGATTTCGAGATAATTCAGAACCCATCTTACACAATTGCTTCTGGCTTCTACTGGGAGCCCAGAAGCCACAGATGAGGCGCATCAAAGGAAAAACACATCAGAACTGGTGCCCCTGCCCCTTGATTTTAATGCAGGATGGAGGTTTGGGCAGAAATTCAGGGACTGGAAAATAGTGCACAGTCTCACTATCTTGCTTGGTGAAACCAGACAGTGCTGTGGTTTCCTTAAATCCCTTCAACTGCTTGGCTCCCCATTGCCAGCTCGCTTCTTCAATAAAAAACAGATGGCAGGCTAAGGCAGTCCAGGAAAAAGTGGTAGCAAGCAATATACTACAATTCCTAAAGCTCTCTCTGGAGAGCAGATCAGGGCACCTGGGTAAGATGCTGTATTTAGAATCTAAAGAGGAGACGCTCAAAATCCATCCTATTTGATCCTACACTTTCTTATTTGAAGCTATTCATGTGATTTTCCTTCATCTCCCAGATTCTCCTCCTCTTCCTTTTTTGGAGAACACAAGAAGCATCCATCATCCTGGTCCCATACAGACGAGAGCAAAATTTCCCACCCAAAACCCAACAATCATATGAGATCACTCAGAGAGAGAGAGAGAGATTAGCTAGCTATTAAGTCTAAATAGAGAATTTGGAAGAGTTAACATGGTTTCTCCAGTATCTAAAAAAGGAGAACAGAGGTACATTTTTGAGGAAGAAGCAAGGGCTGAAGGCGGAATAAGAATTCCTTCTTCCTGTGCCTAGTTCCTCCATTTGCCACCTTATCCCCTGTATGGAGGCATTGTTACAGTCAATTCACAAAGCATCAGGTGAAAAGACTACAAAAGAGACACAGAAGAATTGGGAATCTCTCCATAATTACTCTGTCCAAACCGCACCTTTCTGCCAGTTTTTGTTAAAGCAGATGGCAGCATTTGGTTGACCTCAGCCAATCTCAATTGAGGCCTTTGAATTATGGTGCTGGAGAAGACTCCTGCAAGTCCCTTGGACTGCAAAAGCGATCAAACTGGTCAGTCCTAGAGGAGATCAACCCTGACTGCTCTTTAAAAGGCCAGATCCTGAAGATGAAACTCAAATATTTTGGCCACCTAATGAGAAGGAAGGACTCACAGGAGAAGAGCCTAATGCTGGGAAAGATTGAGGGCAACAGAAGAACAGGACGACAGAGAATGAGGTGGCTGGATGGAGTCACTGAAGCAGTCAGTGTGAGCTAAAATGGATTCCGAGGGATGGTAAAGGACAGGATAGGCCTGGAGGAACGTTGTCCACAGGGTCGTGATGGGTCGGACACAGTTTTGTGACTAACAACAACAAGCCAATCTCAAACAGGGTTGGGCCTGGTAAGAACTTAGATGGCCTGTCACAAGGAAATCCCAAAGTTGAAGATTGGACTAGGAAGTAAAAAGTCTCTTTGAGGGAGAATGGGCTGCTCAGAAATGTGAGAAAAAAGAAGAAGAAAAGAAAAAAAAAGTACCACTGGAAGATAAATGGTACATCATTTTCATTCTGTTTCCCAGATGCGTCCATGTAGTCAAAATGCGTGAAGTCATGGATGTGTCCCTGAAGTCAAATTTAAGTTCAAAGCGAAGGAGAATTTCTTCGCCTCTCTCTGCCAATTCTAAGTTATTCCACAAAAGATTCCTGGTGCTTTATTTAATTTAGTCTGTACATTCTTTATCCTCCTAAATTTACTTCATCTTGAGTTCCAGTTTCAGTTCTAGTTCAAGCTCATCTAAAGAAGATGAAGCAACTCACCGTAAGCTGCTGCTTTGGCAGCTGCTTTGGCAGCTATTGCTGCAGCTACTGGTCCACCGGCACCTGAAGGAAAGAAAAAGATGAGAGAAGTATACTTGTCTTATTACCTTTGGGGTGCTGATGCCAATAAGAACAGATGTTCCTACTATATCTGGATCATGGAGGGGTGGATTTCAGAAAGCCATGGCTGTGATAGTTGAAGTAACATGGTTGTGGGAGAGCACATTTAGTTGGGCTAAATGAGTCTTAAGTCTGCTTATCTTCCCATAGCCATATAAAACAGAGAGGTACCCAAAGTGTTGTTGGACCTTCAAATCCGATGACATAGAGTCCTCAGTGCTCCATACCCTACTGACCATAAGGGTCATAGAATCGAGAGGGAGAGTTAACGTTTAATGTGTCCCCCTCTTTATCACTTCATCTTCTCCTTGTTAATCTGCAGTCACTTCCATCTAACCTTTCTCCCAGGGACACAGGCATTACCTAGGACTTCTGTCCTAGTAGGATGCAGCTAGATAGGTACTAGGCCTGGCCTATCCTTATCATGTACTTCCTGTAGTTTCAGTTATAATACCTGAGTCACTAATCATTGATCACATCATCTTGGGGCTCAGGAATGCCCCTGTGCACTCACAGAATACTTCAACCACCACAAGGTTTATGAATCCAGGATCTTTCTGCTGAGCTCTGACATCCAAGTCTATCGATGAGCTTATCCACTTCTGTGACTGGAACTTCAAGGCAAGGTGAGGATGGCTCCTAATGACTAGCTAGTCCTGGATCAGTTCAGATGCACTCTACTTTTTAAGGTCAGGGAAAGAGAAGCAATGGCCCTCTGGTTTTGCTGGACATGCATCAGCCCCAGCCAAGGATAATGAAAGTTGGACGTGGCCATCTTCTCCATAACTGACTTATAATATCTGGGAGTCAATAGGCCTCTGATAGAGAGAGGCTATATAGATCTTAGTTTCATTTGTCTTAGTTTTATTGACATCATGGTAGCCCATAATGAACTGTCCTTATTCTCAGGCAGTTATCCAGCAAGACAGATTTGATATATCATTCCATTTTACCTATTCCTCCTGGACCACCACCAGCACCAGGCAACAACCCTCCTTGACCAAGGGACCCAGCTCCAGGCAAAAGTCCAGCGCCTTGTGAGAGAAAAGTAGAAATGCATATTGGCCAAAGTTCCTTGTACTTAGACACCCAGCAGAATGGAGGGCAAATATTTCTAATCCCATGACAATCCATCTAAGACATTTGATCCCCAACCTCCAGTTTCTGTGGATCTCAAGGCCTGGGGGAAAAAAAAGTTCTCTGCAGGATTGAACTTCATAGAAGCAACATCTCCATTTCTATAGACAAAAAAGTACTGTTAAGACACTTTATTCCAAACATGTTAATAATTAGAGCAAATATCCTTTAGGGGATGGAAGTTCAGTGACTTGTTTAATAGTGGATACCCTTGTATGATATTGTAAGTTCAAGAAAGTAAAACAAGAATAAAAAATAAAAATAATTTTAAAATGGCTAAACTCATGAGATTCCATGGGATAACCTACAGATATTTGAGATTTAGCCATGTTTTTTTTTAAAGTTGTAATTTAACAATTATGATTAGGAGCTCTGCGGACTACAGAGGCTGCATAGGTTCTAAAACTATTTATTCACCCTGGAAATCCTGCAGAGTGGATTTTGAGCACATACTGCAAGAATGCTGGTGGTTCTTTTTGGCTTGTTACTTACCATATTTTGCAGCTGCCTTAGCAGCAGCAGCCTGAGCTCCTACACCTGCAGAAGAAAGCAGAAGGACATTGTTGTGGGGTTTGCTTTCATTTTATATTCTAGTGGCTTTCCCTGTCTGGTGCCCTGTCAGTAGAATATAAAATGAGAGCAAAACCTACTTCCTACTAGCACTGACGCATTACTAGTTTGGCAATGAAACGTCTGCAAGAAAACCATCAAGCTTAAAGAGCACCAAGGACACCTCAGTTCCTCTCTGTCCTGTCTTCTGATAAACAAAATCAAGACAGAGTCATCTGAATTTTTTCTCTCCTGCTGGCTTCAATCTCTCGACTGTGAAATTGCTTCACCGAGTCCATCCTTAACTATTCTTTCATACCTTCTAAGGCAGAGGTCCCCAAATTTGGCAACTTTAAGACTTGTGGATTTCAACTCCCAGGATTCTCCAGTCTTCTGGGAGCTGAAGTCCACAAATTGCCAAGTTTGAGGACCTCTGTTCTAAGGTCATCTTGAAATTCCTTTACAGATACAGTGGAAAACACCGTCATTCAGCAAAATCTAGAGGACCACGGGCTCCCTGAACCCCTGACATTCTCTGACTATGTCACAGTGCCAAATCTTCCCTGAGCTGCAAGACAGGAAGACTGGAAGGGCTTTCATAACACTCTAGTCTGACCTTCAGCCAAACACACCACAAAGAGACTTACCTGTACCCGTTGGATAGCCAGGTTTCCCTCCAAGTCCTCCAGCATATGCCCCACCTGCCCCGCCTGAAACCACATAGAGAAGGCAGACTCTGTATGAGAATAGATATTCATATTTTTGCCTAATACAAAATATAAAGAAGATTGGAGGAAAACATCTCACTGGGGCTCTTCTTGGTAAATACACCTACCACATACAGGTAGTTCTTAACTTACAACCATTCATTGAGTGACTGCTCAAAGTTACAACGGCATTGAAAAAAGTGACATAGTGGTTGTTTTTCACACAGCATCTCCATGACCACCTGATCAAAATTCATTTGCTTGGCAAGCGATTCATACTTATGACAGTTGCAGTGTCCTGGGATCATGTGATCAGAATTTTGCGACCTTCTAACAAGCAAAGTCAAGGGAGAATCCGGATTCACTTAACAACTGTGTTACTCAGGGGTGGGATGCTACCGGTTCTGTCCGGCTCTATAGAATCGGTAGCTCTGAAGAGCAGCAGACACAGAACCGGTTCTGTGTTTGATGCTATTTGGCCCACCCACCTGCCCGGGCTCTTACCTGTCCTTTATTTCCTGTTTTTTCAACCTCAGCTGCTTTGCGCGGCACAGCTGTGGTTGAAAAAGCAGGGAAAAAGAGGCTTTTCAAATGCTGTGCACCTGCGATCAGCGCTTTTCAGCTCTCTGGGTGGCACAGCCTAAGGTCATTTACACATGTGCGCAGTGCGCATGCACGCACAAATTGTAGTCACTGTACCAGTCGTAACACTGGTTGAATCCCACCCCTGGTGTTACTAATGTAACAAATGCAATGAGTCACTTAACAGCCGTGGCAAGAAAAACGGGCAAACTCACTTAATCAATATTTTACTTTGCAACATAAATTTTGGGCTCAATTGTGGTCGTAACTCGAGGACTACCTGTATTTATATGTGGGATTATATCTCCTTTAACTCATCCCTGTTATGTTTTAGAGAGACAGAGATCCCTTAATTCCTAATATTTATACAGCTTCTCCAACCCACTGCTTTCCGTATGTGTTAAGACTTCTGCAACCACAATCTCAAATCATGTTGGAAGGTACAGGATGGGGAAAGGCTGTTCTACATCTAATTATGGAACTAGATCCAATTTCATTCCACTCTTATGCTTGTCATTCTATAGGCAGCAGGCTCAGAAGATTTGCAAATAATTTTCAATTTGGCCTCCTATCCAAAACCACAATTCCAATCAAAGCCATGAGACTTAAAACTTAGATTCAAACCAAATGACAGAAATCAGTAAGGAAGACTTGCTCACATTCTCAGGCTTACTGTGAAGCCCGGTGCCAAGCTTCACAAACCTTCCTTTTAAATGGCTGGCTCACCTGGTCTGTTATTAATTCCTTATTTACAATGGTTATATAGGCGCCCATTTTAAAAACCAGATCTGGGAGGCTTACAACTGGCAAAACAATATATAAAACAGTAAAAAAAATGGTAATAAAAACAGAAGTAATGCTCTGATGCGCCCACATTATTGTCCTATCTTGACCTCATCCTATTCCAATGTCTGTTCCTGGGCAAAGAATCAGGTTTTAATGCTCCCTGAAAGGCTAGAGGCCCACCAGTTGTTAAGGCAGAGGCTGCAATGGAAAAGGCACACTTCCTCGGTCCCATAAGATGGCAATGTTTAACTCTGGTGGGATGGACACATATCCACAGAGAGAAGCAGTTCTGCAAATGACCTGGTCGCACATCATGTAGGGTTTTAAAAGTAAAAAGCACCCTGAAGAAAACTGAAAGCCAGTACAGCTCCTGCACAGGGGAGTAATATCAGTGAAACTAGGGACACTCAACACAATATGCATTGCTGCATTCTGGGCCAGTTGTAATTTCTGGCTGGACTTCATGGATAGAGCATGTCACAGTAATCCAAACTGGAAGTGAGCAAAATGTGAGTGACTGTGAGCAAGGCCTTCTTGTCCAGGAAAGGGCACAATTGGCACACACCAAGACAGATTTGTGCAATCTGGAATCCAGTTGATAATTTAGTTGATTTTAGGTCTCAAGCTGTGCCCATTTCTATCAAGCCCCAGGCTGCACAACTACTCAGCAAAGGATTTATAGAATGGAAGACATGTCAACAGGACTCACCGAAAGTCAGCTTGCCAGCACCATAAGGCTTACCATAATAACTACCTGGAAAGAGAACCGTTTGATCAGAACATGCTCGCAGGAAGCTGGTACTTAGTGAGACAGACCCATTGCTCCAATCAGGATAAAGTACATTTTTTGTGGGCGGCTAGGAATGTTTCTGAATTTTGCAACTCTAAAACTGTGGGCTTCAACTTTCAGAATTCCACAATCAGTTATGGCTGGCTGGGGAATTCTAGAAGTTGAAGTCCACACATGTCGCCCACTATGCTAGGCCAAACCTATAATTTACAAGGCACAATTGTTTCACACCACAAACTTTACTTTTGGCTTGCAATGTTTTGTAAATTGAGAGAAAAAGAGACAAAGAGACAAAGGGATGGGGGGAGAGAGAAAAATGTTTCAGGGACGTGTAAAACAATTTGTTAAATTCTGGATTAAGAATCACCTGGGAGTTTTGGTGCCTTGATGGGATAACCTAGAGGTAGGCCTGGTTGCTGTCCACCTCCAATTCCTCCAAGTCCTGTAACATCAAGAAAAGGGCTGAGAAGAGAAAGGTCACAAACTAACAATGACCTAATAGATTTTCCTTCTGCACTTTGTAGCCAGTAACTGGAATAGATCAGTCTCTTCCTCACCTATCCTGGAAGGTGATATATATGGTGCATGCACCAAACTCAGGCCTCATTTTTTTCTTTCTTTTTTTAAGCATCCAACCTACCAGGGATTCCAGCAAAGGCTCCTGCTCCAGCTCCTGAAAGAGGAGAAGGGGAAAGTTTGTTAGAAATGGCTTCTGATATGGACATAGCAGTATGAATATGCCAAGAGAAAAGGAGAAAAAAATCCCCAGTACGGTAGCTAGAGCACAGGATATTTCAGAACCTATCTGAGTGATAAAGGATCACCTGTAATGGGATTGTTTTGGGTTAATAAGCTACCCTGAGCTTCAAGTTCTTTTCATATATCAATACTGAGAGTGAAGATGTTTGCAGGTATTATTTTGCACTCCCACATGTGCATAACTATGTTTATACTTATACCTGTTATCTTATAATCACTTGACAAAATAAAATAAATAAAATCTGTGCACATGCAAATACATTGAGGCACACACATCCATGCACACCCAGAGACAGAGGTAGGTAGATCACAGTGTGAATTAGAATGGCACTTCTTAAAGTGTAGTCTAGGGAATGCAGTGTCATGTCAAATGAATAAATATTTTACAACTCTTCCATTTTATTTTCTAATACGGTAAACATCAAGAGATACAATCCACATAAACCAAATCTCTGGAGTCTTCAATCAATTTTAAGACCGTAAAGGGGCCCTGAGACCCAAATGTTTGAGAATCAGTGAATTATAGGTGCCCAACAAAACCTTGCTATAAACAATAGGATTTGAGGTGGAGATGTCACTTACCTGGGGCTTTCTGTTTGACACCTGTTCCAGATGGCACTCCTGGCAAGACTCCTACACCTGGATAACGGATTCCTGACATATATAGAAACAGCAGCTTTAAGATTTTAGTTTAACAAAATAACAGAGTTGGAAGGGACCTTGGAGGTCTTCTAGCCCAACCCCCTGCTCAAGCAGAAAACCCTATACCACTTCAGACAAATGGCTGTCCAATCCCTTCTTAAAAGCCTCCAGTGTTGGAGCATTCAAACTTCTGGAGGCAAGTCATTCCATTGATTAACTGTTCTAACTGTCAGGAAATTTGAGCCCCGATGTAAAATTACAAGCATCCCATTTTTTGGTTTGTTGAAATCTGCTAAATTAACACCTATGCATTCAATACCATGTTGCTGAAAGGAGGGAGGGATGCGCCTGTATGAAGGCCAAACTCACCTGTGCCAGGAAGTACGCCTCCAGGGAAGACTCCTGGAATTCCAACACCTGTCAAACATAGAGCAGAGATGCTGCCATTCTTCCTTCCATGACTTTCTCCAACTGGGGCAATATATTTAGTTCAAATGCCTTAGGTAGAAGAATTCTCTCACTCGTTCTGGAAGCCAATTTAATTGTCTCAGCAGATGGCAGCACAAAACTGATCTTAGAAGCTAAGCAAAATCAGCCTAATACTTTACTTGGACCGAGAACCACCTGCTAATTTGGGATGTTGTCTTGGGAAGCTGAAATAACATCCCAGAAGAAGACCGTAGCAAACATCTTCTGTAATGCTAAGAGGCTTTGTGAGTTCAAAAGCTCTGGGCAAGAATTTTAACTAGGTGAGATTCAAAGTCTCTAGGTCAATTTGTTTCTATTAGGTTGAAAACACCTGCTGAATTGATTTTAGCCTCCTTTCTTGAACGCTTTTATTTTTGTTTACCTGTTGTGCAGAATTAAAAAGCTTCCAAGCAAGTCCAAAAGAAGTTTAGTCTCAATAAGCATTTTCTCTTTAAATTATCCATCAGTTAGTCCCTCTATTTCTCACTAAGACAGCAAGGCAAGACCATTTTATGCCAATCAATGTTTGTGCAGGGACTTCAAGTTCCAGAATTCTCAGTGTTTATTTTACTTTGGAATTCTGCAAAATGTGAACACATCTGGAGAGCATCAAATCAACCAAGGCTGATGTTAAATGTATTTATTTATTTATGCATTTATGCATTCAATCAACTTGTATAGATGAACAATAACAGCAAAAAAAGTAAAAAGCTCTAATGATTACGAAGAACAAACTCAATTATACCCAATGACATCTCACAGGCCATCTACCTGCCTGACCCCCATTGTCCTGGAGCACCGCCCTCCCCCAGGTCTTCTGCACTTTCCCAAAGGCCAGCATTGCAATAGAATAGATCCCATTAGATGACATTCTTTAATTGAGGGGACCCAAATTGATTCCTCTTGGATCAAATGGGATGGGTAGAAACAGTGGGGGAAGGTAGTCCTGCAAAGACCTGTCTCATGACATGGAACTGCAAATAAAGTTCATGTCAAATAAAGTTTGAAGGGGTCTGTTGTCAACAATCAGTGCCTTGAATTCATCCAAAAATACACTGAGAGTCAGTACAGGTTGGGAGTAGAGGCATAGCATGAATATACCGAAATGTGCTCCTAATAATTCACATTGCTGCATTCTGAAACATCTGCATTGTGATAATTCACCTGGGAGATAACAGTGAAAGTGATTGTGAGCAGTGCCTCCTGGCCCAGGAAAGCTGCAACTGACACACAAATAAAGTTGTAAGAAACCTCTTCTTGTCAAGGTTGTTATCTTCTCTTCAAGGAGGAGATCCAGGAGAACTCCAGATTGCATTCCAGTTCTGTTTGGAGAAGTGCAATCCCATGCAGAAGTAAACATGGAAAACCACCAGAGCCAGAGGCCCTAAAATTCAAGCCACTCAAGAGTTGCTTGGATTGGGCAGAAGCTTAAATTGTGCAATACTCTTAATCAAGTCAGTTAATGGCTAAGTAATTTTACTGTGCCTTGATATGTAGCCCAATCTGTTTAACTAGTTTGTGGTTGCAAACCTAGAAAATGGATTAATTCAGTGGACAAGTTAAATATGTAGTAGGAAATCAGAGTTAGGAATAAGGCCCACAAAACTGCGTGAGACCGCCTTTTGACCAAATACAAGTCAGTTCATACTATTCAAGGGGGTTGTTTTTGATCCATGAAGATTGTTGATTGCTGTTCTGTTTAGAATTGTGTCCTTTTGGCCTCTTTTTACTATTTTTGATGAAGAAAAGGCTGCTTATTAGCTACCAAAAGTGTTATGTCCTGAGAACTCTAGGAGTTCTCACTCAGGTCCACTCACTTTGAGTGGGCGTTCTTCCCCCTTTCCTCATTGGTTGGTTCTCCCCAGCAGCCAGCTATAAAAGCAGGCTGCGGGGTCCAACCAGTTGCTGATTGCTGCGAGCCAGTTCCAGGCTTGGCAAGCACGGTCAGCCCTTTATTATTTAATAAAGTATTGTTGCACTCATGCTCTGGTTCAGCCTCTCATTGCTCAAACATAACAAAAAGCATCCCCCATGTCGAAAAAATGGGTAAGTCAAAATATTATCCCTAAACAAAATGTATTGTTGTTTTACACCAAAGCACTACCCATATTCTGCTATTTTTATGATGATGTTAGGTTCTTCTATCTGTATGAAAAGACTGGAGTGGAAGTAATGTTTTAAACGAAAGACAAAACATTGTTCATCTAGAGCCCACTGTGATTAGCCACCTAATCCTATAAGTCAGAGAGCAAAAGATGAACCCCACATTATGCCTTCAGTTTTCATAGCCCACTTATTCTCCCAGCTAATTAACGTGTTATTAAAATTCAGAGCACTCATCCTTATTTGAGCTGAAGTTTCTTGGAGCAACTGCTGACCTACCAGGGATTTTCCCAGGCTTGGCTCCAGTACCAGCACCTGTGGGTGCAAAAAAACCCAGTTGACATAGTGCAAAAGCTCAGTCCAGCATAAATATTTGTCAATCTTTTTGCTGTGGTCCCCCCCCAAACCACCCCAGATTCAATAAATATTGTTAAGTAGTAGTGGAAAGGTGCTTTCTGTTGGATCGTGCAGTCTTTGTGAGAGTTTTTGCAAGTCAAAATCAGGAAAAGTATTTCAAGGGTTACTTAGAAAGTATTAATTTATTTTGGCCCAAACAAATTAAAACATGACGGGCTATGGAGCAGAATTTAACAGGCCATGATTCCAATGGGTATTTAATAGGCAATTTCATTTCTTTATTAAATGTATATACTGCCCATGTCATTCTGAAAAGTGACTCTGGGTGGCTTACAGTTAAAACCATAAATATTAAAAACATCAAATACAACCCTAAATACAAAGGCAAGAAGCAAAAAGGGCAAAATTAATACGCTTCTCGGTTAAGCCACCAACCAATTCCAACGTTGAATGACCCCCAATGCTATTGTTCTTTTATTATTAAACTCTTAAGATGAGTTTACATTAAAAAAATTAATGCAGTTTGCATAAACTTATTAAACCAGGGGTCTCCAACCTTGGCAACATTAAGCCTGGCGGACTTAAAGCA